ACGTGAAATAAATGAATTATTTTCGGCATGTCATATTGTAAGGTCAATGTATGTCCCCCACATTTTTTTCAAATCCCCCTCATTTTTCAGTTGAGTGGGGGACAATCCCCCATAATTTTGAAATTCTAGATGCAACACTGGTATGTTATGACCAATTACCATGTGAAATGATGACTTTGTGATGAATACTTTTCAAGATAATCAGCGGAAACCATTTTGACATTTAAGGCCCCTTTGACCTAGTGACCCGAAAATCTATAGGGGTCATCTACTAGTTATGACCAATCACCATGTGAAATTTAAGAATTTGTGATGAATACTTTTTAAGATAATCAGTGGAAACCATTTTGACATTTAAGACCCCTGTGACCTTGACCTTTGACCTAGTGACCCCAAAATCAATAAGGGTCATCTACTAGTTATGACCAATCAGTATGTGAACAAGAGCTGTCACAGCCAAGCTCGACTAATAAAATACTGGACGCAGTAAGGAGGACAAAACTATGAAAGAAAAATCAATTATGTATTAATATGTATTAAGTTATAGTAAAAAAATAACATTTGTTAACATAAATTCCAAGATCAAGGGAAATAATTCTAGAAATAGTCACGCTAGAGTTATGAACCTTGTCACACAACATGTGTGTCATGATAAAGAAAATATATATTGAAGTTTGAAGTAGATACCTTAACCAAGAAGCTGTCACAGGAGACAGCGAAGCTCGACTAATAAAAATACTGGACACAGTAAGGAGGACAAAACTATGAAAGAAAAATCAATTATGTATAATTATGTATTAAGTTATAGTAAAAAAATAACTTTTTGTTAACATTAATTCCAAGATCAAGGGAATAATTCTAGAAATAGTCATGCTAGAGTTATGGACCTTGCCACACAACATTTGTGTAATGATAAGAAATGTATATTTGAAGTTTGAAGTAGATACCTTAAAAAATAAAGAAGTTATTATATTTTCTTAAAGAAAAATCCTAAGTTCAAAGAGAGATAAATCTGTAAATATTGCTTCAAGAGTTATGAAAACATTGTCACATAAAATGTAATTGATGATAAGGAATAAGTATTTGAAGTTTGAGGTAGATACCTTTTAAAATAAAAAAAGTTAAAATAAAAAATAACATTTTCTAGTAAATAAATCTAAGTTTATGGGGAGATAATTCTTGCAATATTGGTGCTAGAGTTATGAACCTTGTCACATAAGATGTGGATGATGATAACGTAAATATATTTGAAGTATGAAGTTTGATCCCTTTAGAAATAAATAAGTTACAGTAAAAAATAATATTTTGTATGGAAATTCTAAGTTCAAAGGGAGATAAATCTGAAAATATTTGTGCTAGAGTTATGAACCTTGTCATATAAGATGGGGATGATGATAACGTAAATATATTTGAAGTATGAGGTTGATCCCTTAAGAAATAAAGAAGAAACAGTAAGAAATAGTATTTTTTGAGGAAATTCTAAGTTCAAGGGAGATAAATCTAAAAATATGGTGCTGGAGTTATGAACCTTGTCACATAAGATGGGAATGATGATAAGGTACATATATTTGAAAGTATGAGGTTGATCCTTAAGAAATAAAGAAGTATCAGTAAAAAGAGTATTTTTTAAGGAAAATTCTAAGTTCAAGGGGAGATAAATCTGAAAATATTGGTGCTAGAGTTATGAAGACCTTGTCACACAAGATGTGGTTGATGATAAGGAACATATATTTGAAGTTTGAAGTTGATACCTTAAGAAATGACAAAGTTATAGTGAAAAATATTTTACTGCACCAAAACTTTAATCTAAAATCTGGACGCGGACGCGGACGCCGACGCCGGGGCGAGTAGGACAGCTCTCCATATACTTCGTATAGTCGAGCTAAAAAGTAAAGAAGTTATAATATTTCTTAAAGAAAATCCTAGTTATGACCAATCACCATGTGAAATATGACGACTTTGTGATGAAAACTTTTCAAGATAATCAGCGGAAACCATTTTGACATTTAAAGCCCCTGTGACCTTGACCTAGTGACCCCAAAATCAATAGGGGTCATCTACTTGTTATGACCAAACAATATGTGAAATATGAGGACTTTGTGATAAATAGTTTTCAAGATAATCAGCAGAAAGCATGTGGTCTACCAATGGACAGACAGACCAGCATTAGCAAAACAATATCCCCCCTCGTTTTTGAAGGGGGGCATAATAAAGATGTTTAAGAAACTAAAACTTGATTTGTAGTAATGAACTCAAAGAAAAACAAAACAAAACCAAACAAAAAAATAAATGACATGTCAGTAAATATATATAAAGTAAATGTTAAGTGTCAGTAAAGTCCACAGGCGCTAGTCACATAATCAAATATTTTACATAATCGGTCTATATATGTATATAAAGATATATCTTTATATACATATATAGACCGATTATGTAAAATATTTGGTTATGTGACTAGCGCCTGTGGTAAAGTCCTAGACCAGCTGGCTGACAGTCACATGTGACAGTTTCCTTTCAAGTAGATAATAAAGTGCCTTTTTACAAGAGAAATCATGAATGCACTCCTAATCATTGCAACCACCTTTATATTCTAAGACTAGGAAGAGCCAGCGAAACAAAATTATTACGAACTGACAGTTTTACTGAAACAAATTTTATTCTTGTAAAACACATACTGTACCCATTTATCAACAGTATCAACAGATAAATTGAATAATTTTAGTAGAGCTCTATATCCTCGAAATTGAACTAAACGTAAGTGATTACATGCAGTATGAACAAAATATATCCGTTGATACTGACTGGCATTGTTTTATACCAGAAAAAAACAACAAATTTTCCAATAATAAATTTTCTAATATAAACATGATGAGTGGAAATATTTTATCATTACCCAAGGTCAAGGCCGCGGAAGCCGGTTCGCGAGAAATTTCCTTATCTCGGACTTATAGCTTTTTCTACGGATTACTTTGTTATTATCTCTTAGAAGGTGTTTGACGCATGCGCATCAAGCAAAAAATAAACAAAATTTCTTTTGTTTACAAAATAATATATTATTTGTCGCATATTTTTCTAATATTTCGGACCCTGTCTTTTAACCTATAAGGCATATTTAAAATGGGCAAAAAACACAAGCCTAAGAAGCATAAATCTAAAGGATATGATGATGATTACGAAGGTAATTTACGAATGAACTGAAATGTCATCAGTATTCACGACCTGTTGGAATGAATTATTTTGTCTACAGCGTCATATTATAAATGAGTCGAGCTTTTCATGGCGGCGCGGTTCTTAACCAAACATTCACTCTATGACATTGATTTACTAAAGATGTAACTAGTATTTTGTAATATCGCCAATCTGAAAAATGACTTCGGGGGTAGAAATCAGCTCTGTTACCCTACTCTACAATTTGTACAAATTATCATATAATTTAATAACATAACAGCTATAGCAAATAATTCACTCAGATTTATAAAAAGAAAAGTCAAAACTTCCAACAAAAAGGTTAAAGAATCTGCCTACAAAACTTATGTAAGGCCCTAGTTAGAATATTGTTCCACTGTTTAGCATCCTTTGCAAAAATATCTAGTTTACAAAATACTATTTAAAAGAACAAGTTGAAAGTTCATCTGACAGATATGTATACAACAACGAAATTTAGAGGTTACATACCATGGAGGAAATGTACTACTGCATAAATGTAAATGAGGTTATGTACCACATATATATAATTAGAAATAAAGGGATAATAAGGGAATAATTAAAATAAAATTAAATTTTTTTTTTAAATTGTGCATTAATCGATCTATTGTATTCTAAAAATTATATTACAATTATAATATAATAACAATGATAATATTTCATAGTTTGTAATTTGTTTGTTATTAACTTATTTGTTTGATTAGCTCATTTCTGACTGTGTGATAATCATTTATAGATACAGGTAAACTATTGCTATTTAAGATCGCTTTGCTATGATATGTCTTTTAAGAAATAAGTAATATTAATGTAATAATTCATTCATTTTTATGCTCCCCGAAAAATTTCGGGGGAGCATACATGTATAGTCACCGCCTTGTCCGTCAGTCTTTCCGTCAATGAGTCCGTTTTTCTTGTCCGGGACATAAATTTGAAACAACAAGAGGTATCAACATGAAACTTTGTAGGTAGCTAGATCTCATTGAGTAGGTGTGCAGTGCACAAGAACGGTAACTCTGCCAAGCTGAAATACTTGACTTACCTTTCAGCTTAGTCAAGTGAATGATTGTGTTACAGATGAATACAGTTTTGAATAAGTGTATTGACTTTGTCCTTTTCTAATATTATTGCTTTAGAAAACAACATTTCGAAATCCCATTTTATTTTATTATTGTCAATTATCTACAATTATAACCCAGTTTGGTTGAAGATTAAATCATGTAATGTTTTTCAAAAGAAATACAAAGTCAAACATTCAGTTGTGAAAAGTTGAGCACCTACATTGTACATGTATAACAAATTAAAGATGTATCACCAGTAATATAACCGCCTCCGTGGTTGAGGGGTTTGAGTCAATGACTTCTAATCCAGCTACCTCTCTGGCGTGGGTTCGATCCTCGGGAGACGATTTGGTAGTTTAGCACGGAGGAAGGTAGACTAGTACTGGTGTAACTCTCCAGGAACGATGGTTAGAAAAGGCGTAAAATGAAACAAACAAACATCACCAGTAAATGGTGGGTAAACAGCAACTGTTTATGATAATACTTTTTTCTGGAATATACTTTGTGGAATAACAGCTTCTTTCAATTAATAAGTCCCTTGGTTATGGCATATTGTCATTTAAGTGCATTCAGTGATTTTTCACCTTATATATCTGATATCTATAAAAGGCCTCTTCCCAATCAAAATTTTCTTACAATTTATGCAGTTTTCCAAAAAATCTGAACTTACACAGGCTTTTTTAAATCCCAAATTAGTAATTTTAGCAATCATTTTTCCCAAAATCATGAAGCTAAGGCCTTTTCCCAATGAATTTCGAAAAGCCACTAACATCATTATGATAAATGATTCCCAAGTTGATCATAATTGATACTAGAAAATTGAGATTTCTTTTTGTTTTATCTTCTGACCAGAATGTCATCACAACTTTTATTAAATATTTTACAGATGAGCGTGAAGGGGTAGAGAAAGAGTCTCTCAAGATTGTATTAAAGGTGGGAGGAGCAGATGCGGGGTCAGATGTCTCGTATTCCCATGATGAGAAGAAACACAAACATAAAAAGAAGAAGAAAAAGAAGGATAGGGACAGGCACAGGCATGCTGAGGTGAATATATTTACCACTAGATTTTGTCAAATGCTCATTTAATACATATCACTTGTGAATTTTTCAAGCAAACTAAATTTCTCTTTATGTACGATGCTATACAGCAAATTTACAGAGGTTACATGATTTTATTTACAATGTATATGTCATTGTACCTTTAAGTAGTAATTTATTCTTTTGTTTTTGTTTATACAGAATTTATTTTATTTCAATTGTTTTGTTTTGTAGTCACATTGATCTATAGTAAAGTGGGGGGGGGGGAGATAATTGCGTCATTACACACCAGCTGTTTTGTAGTATACAAATGTTGAAAAGGTTGACAATATTATAAACACTTTACGTCAGATAAATAAGGTTAAATTTGGGTTTTCTAAATGATAAGGAGGTTACGAAAATGTTTATTTAAAAATACTCTTAAGCTACCAGATAAATCTGTCCATAAACAGTTAATTCTATATTAATGCATCATATAGAAATGTTTCTCTAAAACTAACACAGTAAGCACAGTAACTATCTATGTTTATGAAATGAGGTGGAGCAACTTTATTACAATACTATGACTGGATAAAATACTGGCCTTGAAAATAAGCTGTCCTTGAATTTGGGCCATTAATCTTTTACCAAAATTTGAAATGAGCCTCAGCTTATTATCAGATTTTTTGGGGTAAGTCCCTTTAACAGAAGCAAATACAAGATTTTTAACCTCACTGAATTTAAAAAAAATGTAATAATTTATGTTTGGTATATAAGTGAAACAACTGGCAAGGTCTTACAGTGATAGGCCCGGCATCCCTGTCATATTGTTGATGAATACATTGGCAAGTGTACTCTGCTCAAGATTAAAGATATATTAACTACATGTTTGTTGTTTAAGAAATGAAAACTCTTTGTTTTAGTTTGTAATATTTGCATTTAATAATGTGTTTTTAAGGTGTTTATTGAATGTACTTTTGTATGTCATGCAAGTTTAATAACTTATTTGATCAGTATTTATCTTTTAAGGAAGCAAAAAGTAATTCTATATTATATAAATAACTTTTTCTATATTATATAAATAACTTTAGTAAGTTAAGGTACATATGTTAGTCTACACTTAGCATTGAAGTTTTTTTTTATTATGGAAAATATGAATGATAGTACCATTTGTTTAAACAAATTAATTTTATTCTATAAAAGATGTACCTAAAATTGTGCAAAAGGAATAAAACTGCCTGTGTGCTTATGATAATCATCAATTATCAATCATCATCAATTATTCAAAATAATCTTGCCAAAATTTCTCTGTATGTATATCTAATAGGTATGGGCTTTGAATACATATTATTTTAGCACCCTTTTATATGAAATGTAAAAGCTTAATGTTTTGTACAAAGTCCGGTTAGAAAAAGACTTTGTGAGCAATTTTCAACAGCTGTGAGTTAGTTGATAATAAAACCTATCTTTATACTAACTAGACTGACTCTGTAAAGGAAGAAGTAGAAGAGAAGAATGAAGACGATGAAGATTTCTCCGTAAGTCAGGGCGAGGATGAAGATACGTTTGAGCCGCCAGCTAAACGTGTGTTACTAGACATAGACGACGAGAGTAACTCTAGTCAGGATTTACAGCCACGACGTAGTGTGAGGCAAGTTGCCGAGAGTAAAGAGGATGAGAAAGGAGTTCTTAGAGAATGCCTGCTATATATTCAGAAACATTTGCAAAGGTAACTACTTTAATTTGTATTCAAGTGTAGCATAATTTACCATATATTTTACATGAAAATAGATTCAAAATGGAGATTCAGTGATGTTTATGCTTCATTTTTTGTAAGAAGTTAAAGTTATATAATAAAACAGCTTGCTCTGTTGATGAGGGGCTACTCTTCAGTGGCTCTGAAGAAAACGATCTTTGTAAATTATAAAACTATTTATAAGTACTTCAAAGAATATTTTATATTTAGCCAACTGAAGTCCTCTGTGAGTATGGAAACATTTTGGATTTTAAGGTGCATATTCTTCTCCATTTTCCAGGAAAGATGTGAATGGATTCTTTGCATTCCCAGTAAATGATGTGATAGCTCCAGGTTACTCTATAATCATCAAAGAACCGATGGATTTTAGTACAATGTTAACAAAGATAGAGAATGATACATACGATTCTATAATGGACTATAAGGTAAGATTTAGATGGTATTGTTGTAAGCAGAATGTTTATCATTACAGATTTGTGATAGAGAACCAACAGCTAGTGTCATTTTCATGATATTATGTGATATTTAATTTGTGTGATATTTAATTTGATTTATTACAGAATTTCTATGTATTGATATATTACAGATTATGTATTACAGAATGACTATGTATTGATATATTACAGATTATGTATTGATATGTTACAGAATGTCTATGTATTGATACATTACACATTATGTATTCATGTATTACAGAATGACTATGTATTGATGTTTTATTGGATATATTCCAGAATGACTATGTATTGATGTGTAACAACGCAATGACATACAATAGACCAGAGACTATCTACTATAAAGAAGCTAAGAGACTCTTACAAAGTGGACTTAAAATGATGAGCAAGGTAAAAATTTGATTTCTTATGGCTTTATTTTTTCCTAATCATTAAGATTGGAAAAATATTATGTTTTTCAGATTTAAAACTCCATTGTTTAATGTCTGATTAAGAAGGATCTAAGAATGACAACATTTATAAGCAGCATAGTTAACTAACAACATGCCTAGTAATAAGAAGGAGTCTCGTATTTATGTCTGGTTTCATGATTTATGTCTGTTTAAGATACATCCCATCCTAAATTTCAGGAGAAATTACTGTTAATGAGAAGTCTTGGATTTATGTCTAGCTTCAGTATTTATGTCTAATTTTACCATATATTCCATCCTAAATTTCAGGAGAAATTACTGGTAATGAGAAGTCTAGGATTTATGTCTAGTTTCAGTATTTATGTCTAATTTTACCATATATTCCATCCTAAATTTCAGGAGAAATTACTGGTAATGAGAAGTCTAGGATTTATGTCTAGCTTCAGTATTTATGTCTAATTTTACCATATATTCCATCCTAAATTTCAGGAGAAATTACTGGTAATGAGAAGTCTAGGATTTATGTCTAGTTTCAGTATTTATGTCTAATTTTACCATATATTCCATCCTAAATTTCAGGAGAAATTACTGGTAATGAGAAGTCTAGGATTTATGTCTAGTTTCAGTATTTATGTCTAATTTTACCATACATCCCATCCTAAATTTCAGGAGAAATTACTGTTAATTAGAAGTCTTGGATTTATGTCTAGCTTCAGTATTTATGTCTAATTTTACCATATATTCCATCCTAAATTTCAGGAGAAATTACTGGTAATGAGAAGTCTAGGATTTATGTCTAGTTTCAGTATTTATGTCTAATTTTACCATATATTCCATCCTAAATTTCAGGAGAAATTACTGGTAATGAGAAGTCTAGGGTTAATGTCTAGTTTCAGTATTTATGTCTAATTTTACCATATAATCCATCCTAAATTTCAGGAGAAATTACTGGTAATGAGAAGTCTAGGGTTAATGTCTAGCTTCAGTATTTACGTCTAATTTTACCATACATTCCATCCTAAATTTCAGGAGAAATTACTGGTAATGAGAAGTCTAGGGTTAATGTCTAGCTTCAGTATTTACGTCTAATTTTACCATATATTCCATCCTATATTTCAGGAGAAATTACTGGTAATGAGAAGTCTAGGATTTATGTCTAGTTTCAGTATTTATGTCTAATTTTACCATATATTCCATCCTAAATTTCAGGAGAAATAACTGGTAATGAGAAGGAGTCTAGGATTCATGTCTAGCTTCAGTATTTATGTCTAATTTTACCATATATTCCATCCTATATTTCAGGAGAAATTACTGGTAATGAGAAGAAGTCTAGGATTTATGTCTAGTATAACAATGGAAGAGATAGGTATAAATCAAGAGGATAATACAGGTGCTGTGCTGGAAGAACTAAATGCCAAGGAGAAAGAATACGAAATCACAGTCAAAAATAGAGACAAGTAAGTCAATAGAAATTTTATTTTTTTGGGTTTGACAAACATATGTCTACATATGTTAAGGTCTTGTAGCGAATTTTAGCTCGACAATTTATAGAGTAGGAAGTGCTGTTGTACACTGTCATTGTCGTCACACTTCAGTTTAGTTTTTGCATGCAAGTTGATATCTCCAAAACTACTGAAGGGAATTGATTGAAACTTAACACACTTGTTCCCTATGATTATCAAACTTGATGGGTGCAGGTCCCATAACCCTGAGTTACCTTACAGATTTATGCCCCTTTTCTTACTGAATGGTTGAGCACACTGTGTGATGGACAGCTCTTTTTTTTCTGGTGAAAGACCACATCAGAAGTTTATGCATGCCATATTTCTAGAATAAGCAAGCAGTTTTCTTACATTTGCTGTGGTGGCATGGCCCAGTGGTTAATTAATTTTGTGTACTAGTAATCAAAGGATTGCTGGCTACATTGGTTTAAACACCATCAGTGGCAATATGTTGTTTTTTTTGAGCCAGAAACTACAAAGGTCATAGATCTGTCATATTATTATGTTAATCTGCTAACAGGTTTGTACATTCATTTGTTTGTAGATTCTATATATCACCAAGTATTTCCTCATGAATGTTGCTGTTTTGCTATATATTTAATTATAGTGTTTAGCTCTCCCAGCTTTAGCATAAGTATTGTTTATTATGTTACAGCATTGGAAGGTTTGAAGCATTCCCGGATAACATGACACCAGATGAAATACTTGCCCAAGCTCAATCAATGGCCCAGGATGCTAGAGATATGCTAGCATGGAAGAAACCAAAAACTAAGGTAACTTTATAATATACGAGTTTCAGATCAGTTGAAAGCCTATTTAATTCTACTTATGTCCCTATTACTTGAAAGATTTGCCCTTGATGTCCACCCCACTGTCACACTGTCTGTCTATCTATCTATCTATCTGTCTGTCTGTAGACTGACAAAACAATGGAAAGTTGGAGCATCTGTATCCTATGGACACATTTAGTTGTGTTCAAAACTAAATATACATGTAATCAAAATAATTGAGAAGAGTTGATTGATTATATTTTGTGACAGATATCCATAGAAATGTTCTACATTCATGCAAATAAATTTGCATACTTTATATATTGATATTTATATTTTATGATACAGTTGAGTTTCCTGCGGAAGAGAGATGATGGTACAACATCTATGACAGTGATAAATCCAGATAATGATGGAATAGGTGAGATTGTTGTTATTCTTGTTGTATATTGTTGGTGTTTGTTGTTGTGATTGTATTGTTGTTGCTTTAATTGTCTTTGAAGCTTCTCAATCATAGAATGTTTTTTTTTTCTTAAAGCTATTTAGTTATGTTTAATCTCAGTCAGTATGCTTTATGGAATATATGATGTTTAATCATTTACCTTCAACAAAATTGTCAGACAAGACAAAAGAAATGGCTGTTCTTTATCCCTGAAATATACCGGTAATTATGCTGGGTTTGTAGACCGGATGACCGTTTAAAGGTGTGTCTTTTCATAGAAATACAAATTTTGAATATATTTTTTTTTGCAAAGAACATATATGTAGGATATAGGAACAGTGAGGAATTTTGTAATAATCTTGCGCAATATAGGGAAGGTTTATGTAAGGTATGAATAATAGGTTATGTTAACATTTTCCCAACACCAGATCTTTGTGGATACAAAAAACAACATAATTTTAACCAGGTATCCTGGTTGGATTAGTTATAATTTAAGTTGTCAAAAAAATTATTGAAGTTTATGCACAAGTTTAATATCATATACTAAATTGTAGGGAGATAGCTGATAATCTGGTAGCCTTTATCACATCAAAGTCCTTTTTTTATATCTGGAAATGTCGTAAAATTAGTTTTCTTTACTTGGAGACTTGAAAATGTCTTAAGCTGAGACATTGAGTGCACATGTCTGATGTATTTATAGGTTGTCCTAGATTTTATCATATATATTGTGTCATATAAACTTTCTAAATATAGAATTGACCTATGACCCAACATTGACCTTAACAGCTGATCATGAGTATGTACATATAATGATACTGTCTATGCTTTATCTTTAAAGTACTTTTAGGGCAGACTGAATAACGGCAGTACATGAATAAAGTAAAAGAAAACAAACATTTTAAGATTGTTAATTAAAAATAAGTGGTATTGAATGTTTTGTTTTTGTGTGTGTTTCAAATATTCTAGTGATTGTCACAGAAAATGAAAATTTAGAATATAATGATACCAGCAATCAAGTTTTTGTGAAGGTTTGAAGACATGAGATTAATTAAGATGCAAGATTGCAGAGTTCTGCAGCAGAATCATAAAAAATTAACTGTGATTTTTGTGATGAATTTTATTTGGCTGAATTAATTAAAAAAATGTTTACCTCCAACAATAATTTGAGGATATTTTTTATTTGTTTGGTATGTATAATTTAGTAGGTAAAAGAACATGTATAAAATACTTAACTCATCAATTTTTTTAAGTACCTTATTATACTAAAAAAAATTCACAAAATTTCCATTATCAATTTAAATATTTCAATTATTTTGAAAACATATAGTGATAATTTTTAAAATAAACAAAAGAATATATAAAAATGTTTAGAATAAAGTACTTACTTCATATATTGTCTGATGGCTGATGTTTTAAATGTAGATGAAAGATGTGTAATGTAATTCCATTTATAGCTACAATGTGTGACCTTCACCTTGTAGTGGTTAGGTATATGGAAATAAATGTTTGATATCCTAAGGAAAAATTTGATAGGAAAAGTATTGTACATGACCTTGCCCCATGCATGGGTCCTATACAGGAACATTGTATGGTGTACTGATACATGTATATACCCTAATGTACTCATATATTTAACTAAATTTATGTGTTCATGTGCATTACTATCAGTATTTTAATCTAATATAAGAATGGAACAGGTAAAATGTAATCAACATTTGACTTTATTGTAAAATTGATTATAGAAAAAATATGTATATGGTAACTGTTTTCCAGATATAAAAAAAATTTTTGGTTGTAGAGAATGTTGATGTGATTTGTAAATTCATATATTAATGTAAATATAAAATTCACATATTAAGACATAAGCAAGTGTTTATATATTTAGAGCATCAGCTTTGTTCAAGTCTATTGTTAGTCAATTATAGTCACTAGAGGAATATTGTGGCTGTTACATAGAAATGCCGACACAAAAATCAAAAACAAAAAGGCAAAATAAGAATCAACAACAGCAACAAAAACAAAACACAAAACAAAAAAAAACCTAAAACCTAAATCAAAAACAGACAAAAACTTGTTCAATATATTGAAAATATATACTCTGTATGAATGAACAGGTAAGATAATGTTAAGTGTTGCTGTTGACCTCTTTGAATGAGAAGTCAGTAAGTCTGTGTGATAAAGATTTTGACGTTTGTCCCTTTGTGGGTTATTTTGTCCCAGAACTGGGTCACTTCTTCACTTGTGGTGACATTTTGTTTGATATGACTTACAACGTCATCATTTAGTGCTGTGATGCTACTGTTAACATGTGAAGATATCGTGATCTTTTAAAAGTTTTACATGCCTTCCTATTGAGGAGATATAAAATATTAAATAAAAAAAGAACTTGAAGATAAACATAGATTACTACTTGTATTCTAGAAAATTAGTCAGCAATTTGTCTTTTAACTCTTTTTTTCTTTTTAGTTTTTTTTTCAGTCCAGTAATTCTTTTTTTTTCCAGCTGTTTAAATGATTATATTGCATTTTATAATAAACATTAAAAACCTTTTAATGAACTGTAAACTTGTGATTATTAAATCTATTTGATTGTTTTTAGGCCTCTGTAGGGATATTTAACTCTAACCTTGCTAAATATTTTAAATGGACTACCGGTACTACATTTTTAGAGGGTTATATTGCATTGATATATTTATATACGGTCATATAACCTGTCAGAAATTTTTATAACAAATTGATAATACAGCAAACTTCCTTTTTTAGAGAAAAAAGGTCACAACAGTCGTTTATATAAAACTATGTAAATGTTATGATTATCCAATGAAAAGTGATGTTACATTATGTGCAGTATTATAAAATTAATGTAGTCAGACTGGCATACTGTAAATCTGACCCAGGAGTGTTGATAGTTTGAGTTTTAGTCATTAGATGTTTAAGACTTAAAAAGCTGACAATTGATAGATAAGAATTTTTCAGCATTGTATTTTCTCATTATTGACTAAAGTAAGTATATATAAAAGTCAATTGTTTGAATGTTTTCTTGTAATTCAGTGGGAGAGAATGAGAGAATTATTTCCCTTGGTGCTGTGACAGGAAAGTTGACCTCTGGTACAGGCAGTATAGCTGGATTTAAAGAAGACAAACGGAACAAAGCCAACCAATGTATGTACAAGTAAAATGGTTTCCTGCGGGGAACATTTTTAATGATATAAAGATATTTCATTTAACTATTTTCAACATTGTTTGGGGGGAATAA